TATATACAAGAGTCAGGGTATGTCTTCCTTCACCGTGTTCGCTCGAGCGTGGGCTGAGAATAATAGCTGAAACACGGGCTAGGGATCTCAATTTTTTACCGTGGCTCTTATTGTCATCTGTTGCAAAGGGGTTAAGGAGGAATAAGGTTATCAGTTTGTTTACACTGAGACAAAGACTCAGCAAATTTATAACAATGTGCCTGCCGACATCAGCAACGGTTTCAATGCCACATGTTTCCATAGTGTCCTGATACAAATCATAATTATTACCAAGCATAATGTTACTGGTACACGCTCTTTTGTGCAACTTTTCTAAAATGTGAACGTGATCTTTGAAGTTAAGAATTCTACACAACGTCAGCATATTCTATCGTAGGCCTGACATAACCTTTATAAACAACTGTCAATTCATCTGTTTCAAGACCAAATTTTTAAAGTGCGCGTAACATGTATAAATGTCTGTTTGTTTTCTTAACAAACATCACTAATCTGGAGATCCCACTTCAAGTCGTTTTGAATCGTGACTCCAAGGACCTTTGCTGAAGACACGAAGCAAGTGGGATATGATCAATAGTAAATGCTGGTATGGGCGGATTTCTCTTGAAGCAGATTAGAAGAGCCTGACAGTTAAATGGATTTAAACATAAGTTTTTATCTTAAGTCCACTCAACAAAGTGATCTAATTCAATTTGAAGGTTACCAGTGACAGAACTAGGACAATTCTCGGCTAAAGTTAAATCATCTACATATTTCCAAATACCAACAGTATTATCTGGTGAAAAATTGTTGATGAAGCACTAAAATCCAATGGGACCAATTTTGCTACAGTCAGCGCGCAGCACACCAAAAAGAGCTTTCGTTTATTTGCTGTGTATGCACAACTGGGTCGGTTATGCATATTAAATGAGATTGGCGGTCACATTTTGAAAACTTGTTTTTTCTGGAAATTTGTCTTTCAAATTTTGAGTTAAGCAGAAACTTAAAAAGAAAACATTCAAATGCTGTGATAAAATGGACTCATTTGCTTTTCTAACGTTGGTTTGGAGAAACATGATGTCTGAAAAAATGTTGTTACTGTAATGAATTTGTGGTCATTGAAAATGCCAATTTTTCTTCTGAACGCGATCCAGCAGAATGAACTTACAATTTGTCAAAAAGCTACATCTTTCATCTTATCTCTCATCACAGAAATATCTGCCAAATCTGCTCGAAACAGTCAGTTTCACCTAAGAAATTTTGAATCTCAAGAAGAATCAACTCATGAAAATCTTCGTTGTACGAGTACGTGTACAACATAAGTGTGTGTGTTTGATTGGTCAAACCGTGGGCAACCCCCACTCATTGACCAATCCAGCACAGCCATACTGATGCACAAGGAATTTCTTATGACGGGTATCCTACTTCGCACATGATTATCGCACCTCTTAATACATTCACATGGGTGCCTGAATAAAACAATAGACCGGTTTATATGTCTCAAGCATGGAATTGGTGAGCACGAGCCTCCCCTCTATTGTAATTGTTTTTGCGCCCCTTGTTGAGAGATCAACATTCAAATTCCCTTCAATTTGCTTCATCACAAGAACGTGTGCATGTATTTTTTTCCTCAAGTGTCAAGCCACAAGAATGACGAAAAATCATCCCACCTAGGGCCAGCTGGTCTACAAACCCAGATTGAATTTGAATTGAAACACTCTGGTTGTTGGTC